GAATTCTTGCTGGTTGGTAGGGGATCAAATACTTATTTCACTCAATGTAATGCAAATCAATTTCTAACATTTAGGCCTATATAATGTGTTTTTTCTGGATTTTTTTGGTTGATATTCTGTCTCTATCCGTTAAAATAAACCTACCATAAAAATTACAGACCCTTCATTTCTTTGTAAGTGGGCAAACTTACAAAATCAGCAGGGGATCAAATAAATATTTTCCCCTCTGTAAATGTGTACTGTTACACCCGTAATATACATGGCTGTCCTTTGGGCGGTGCAAATGGTGCAGTCGCACCTGGCCCCGCGACTTGAGGGAAATTGAAGGCATTGAATGTGAATCCTTTTTTATTTAGGTGGTATCTTTCATTTTTGACTAATTGGACCCAACAGGTCTGAGTCAATCACACTTTATCGGAGCTGAAAGGTATTAGCACAGGTGTTTCACAGGAATGTGTTCTCAGAGGTATAAAGGTTTGTAGAGTGGTGTGATTTAAATCATCTTATTTTAAATACAAAAAAGGAGATAATCATTGATCCTAGATACATAGGTGACCACACCAGTGTTTATACATGAAACATCAATTAAGCAAGTACGTTCCTACAAGTATCTTGGTATCCATATGGAGAATAAACTTAGTTGCGAGATTCATGTGGATACAATTTGTTCTTGTATGTAGCAAAGTACATTTTCTGCAGACTATTCAGGTGTGCAGAATTATTAGGCATGTTTTCTTTTACAGATAAAATGAGCCAAAAAAGAGTTTAAACTCAAACTGACAAGTAAAAAATTATTAATTCCCCATGAGAAATATTCAAAACTAATGCAATACAGAAATTGCAAAGTTAAGACATGGCCATTGGACAGCAAAATGCTCACTGGGTCAGCAAAAAACAGGTGGAGAAGAAAAGACATGTTAACTGCAAAATATTTAAGAATTAATGTGAAGAATTAGGTGTAAAACCATTTAGTCTCCAACGCCACCATTTTCCAGAACTGCAACCTTCCTGGAGTCTCCAGAATTACAAGGCGTCAGGTTCTCAGACACTTTGCTTGGGTAAAAAATCCTAAAAAAATGACCCTCACTTAATAAGAATAACATGCTGAAGTATTGTGAAATACATGAAGACAAATTTTTTATAGGCTTTATGGACAGATAAGTTGAGAGCGACTCTTGAAAGACCAGCACCACATCCTCTTGTACCACTTTTTGAAGAATTTATCTTCCAGAATCTGGCAGCAAGTTTTGGGAGTTCATTTTTAGCCCATCTCCTATGCTGAAAAGTCTGTCTTGCAGGATTGACTAAAAATGAGCTCCCAAAACTTACTGTCAGATTCTGTACATAAATATTATTATAAAAATAATGTATACATCATGTATATATATATATATATATATATATATATATGATATATATATATT